ATGAGGGTGGTGAGAAACACAGTAGTGAGACATTATGAGGGTGGTGAGAGACAGTAGTGAGACATTATGAGGGTGGTGAGAGACACAGTAGTGAGACATTATGAGGGTGGTGAGAAACACAGTAGTGAGACATTATGAGGGTGGTGAGAGACAGTAGTGAGACATTATGAGGGTGGTGAGAGACACAGTAGTGAGACATTATGAGGGTGGTGAGAGACAGTAGTGAGACATTATGAGGGTGGTGAGAGACAGTAGTGAGACATTATGAGGGTGGTGAGAGACACAGTAGTGAGACATTATGAGGGTGGTGAGAGACAGTAGTGAGACATTATGAGGGTGGTGAGAGACACAGTAGTGAGACATTATGAGGGTGGTGAGAGACAGTAGTGAGACATTATGAGGGTGGTGAGAGACACAGTAGTGAGACATTATGAGGGTGGTGAGAAACACAGTAGTGAGACATTATGAGGGTGGTGAGAGACACAGTAGTGAGACATTATGAGGGTGGTGAGAGACAGTAGTGAGACATTATGAGGGTGGTGAGAGACACAGTAGTGAGACATTATGAGGGTGGTGAGAAACACAGTAGTGAGACATTATGAGGGTGGTGAGAGACAGTAGTGAGACATTATGAGGGTGGTGAGAGACACAGTAGTGAGACATTATGAGGGTGGTGAGAAACACAGTAGTGAGACATTATGAGGGTGGTGAGAGACAGTAGTGAGACATTATGAGGGTGGTGAGAGACACAGTAGTGAGACATTATGAGGGTGGTGAGAGACAGTAGTGAGACATTATGAGGGTGGTGAGAGACAGTAGTGAGACATTATGAGGGTGGTGAGAGACACAGTAGTGAGACATTATGAGGGTGGTGAGAGACAGTAGTGAGACATTATGAGGGTAGTGAGAGACACAGTAGTGAGACATTATGAGGGTGGTGAGAGACAGTAGTGAGACATTATGAGGGTAGTGAGAGACACAGTAGTGAGACATTATGAGGGTGGTGAGAGACAGTAGTGAGACATTATGAGGGTGGTGAGAGACACAGTAGTGAGACATTATGAGGGTGGTGAGAGACAGTAGTGAGACATTATGAGGGTAGTGAGAGACACAGTAGTGAGACATTATGAGGGTGGTGAGAGACAGTAGTGAGACATTATGAGGATGGTGAGAGACACAGTACGGTGACCCCACACACACACAGACACACACTACCATTCACCGTAGTACCCAGGACGGAGGTGGCCACAGGCAAGGCATAACAATATCTACCATCTCCTACTGGGCACAATAGTGGGGCGGAGGAGGCCGGCACCATGATATATAACGTAGCCTCGTTCTCCATGTCTGGAGTGGAGAACATGGACTCCGGGGGCACGTTTCTGCAGCACTTGGCCCCGGAGCTCAGTAACCTTGTCAAGCTCCACCCCAGCATCTGAGCCCATGCTCGATCACCAGGTGAGCAGGCTAGGTGGTCAGGCTAGGTGAGCAGGCTAGGTGGTCAGGCTAGGTGGGCAGGCTAGGTGGGTAAGCTAGGTGGGCAGGCTAGTTGGGCAGGCTATGTGAGCAGACTAGGTGGTCAGGCTAGGTGGGCAGGCTAGGTGGGCAGGCTAGGTGGGCAGGCTAGGTGGTCAGGCTAGGTGGTCAGGCTAGGTGGGTAAGCTAGGTGGGCAGGCTATGTGAGCAGACTAGGTGGTCAGGCTAGGTGGGCAGGCTAGGTGGGCAGGCTAGGTGGGCAGGCTAGGTGGGCAGGCTAGGTGGTCAGGCTAGGTGGTCAGGCTAGGTGGGTAAGCTAGGTGGGCAGGCTAGTTGGGCAGGCTAGGTGGGCAGGCTAGGTGGGCAGGCTAGGTGGTCAGGCTAGGTGGTCAGGCTAGGTGGGTAAGCTAGGTGGGCAGGCTAGTTGGGCAGGCTAGGTGGGCAGGCTAGGTGGTCAGGCTAGGTGGTCAGGCTAGGTGGGTAAGCTAGGTGGGCAGACTATGTGAGCAGGCTAGGTGAGCAGGCTAGGTGGGCAGGCTATGTGGGCAGGCTATGTGGGCAGACTATGTGAGCAGGCTAGGTGGGCAGGCAAGGTGGGCAGGCTATGTGGGCAGGCTATGTGGGCAGGCAAGGTGGGCAGACTATGTGAGCAGGCTAGGTGGGCAGGCTAGGTGGGCAGGCTATGTGGGCAGGCTATGTGGGCAGACTATGTGAGCAGGCTAGGTGGGCAGGCTAGGTGGGCAGGCTAGGTGGGCAGGCTATGTGGGCAGACTATGTGAGCAGGCTAGGTGGGCAGGCTAGGTGGGCAGGCTAGGTGATCAGACTATGTGAGCAGGCAAGGTGGGCAGGCTATGTGGGCAGGCAAGGTGGGCAGGCTAGGTGGGCAGGCTAGGTGGGCAGACTATGTGAGCAGGCAAGGTGGGCAGGCTAGGTGGGCAGGCTAGGTGATCAGACTATGTGAGCAGGCAAGGTGGGCAGGCTAGGTGGGCAGGCTAGGTGATCAGACTATGTGAGCAGGCAAGGTGGGCAGGCTAGGTGGGCAGGCTAGGTGATCAGACTATGTGAGCAGGCTAGGTGGGCAGGCTAGGTGGGCAGGCTAGGTGATCAGACTATGTGAGCAGGCAAGGTGGGCAGGCTAGGTGGGCAGGCTAGGTGATCAGACTATGTGAGCAGGCAAGGTGGGCAGGCTAGGTGGGCAGGCTAGGTGATCAGACTATGTGAGCAGGCAAGGTGGGCAGGCTAGGTGGGCAGGCTAGGTGATCAGACTATGTGAGCAGGCTAGATCATAGCGGTCAGAAATAAAAATATAACACGGTAAACAAAACAAAACAATCAGTAGCCCAATAAGGGAAGCCGTGACACACTCTTCACTCCGTCCTCCTAAGGTTTCCCACCGCCAAGAAAACGGCCAATGTGTCCTCTCCTAACCTACCAGAGGACCAATAAACAGAAAACGGGGCAGTACGTCACTTTCCCCAACCGCTTCCATTTTCTACTACAGCAATTTTTGGCCTAATGTAACGCATACGAACGAAAAGCGACGTTCTTTGTAGGAGGACAAGTTGTACTGTTCGTTCCCATCCTCCAACAGGTCACATGTATACAGGTGATTAACGCCCCCCCCCCCTTCCCCTACACATCAAAAAATCCTGTATACAGTACAAGCCTGCTGCACATCCTTCAGATAAACATTATAATGAATAAATATGTGCAGGTGGCGAGTTTCAAATCAATAACCACAGTTAATGTTGTGTGGCGGATGTGAAGCAACTTACTGGCGGGAGCGGCCCGCCCCGCGCCCCCGTCAGTCTACACCTGACGGGACGGAACCTTCTTAAACAAGTACAGTCAGTCTTACCGCACCCACAAACACTACTTCAAATTACGGTACAAACACGAGAATGATTGGAAGTCACGTGCAACAGTTTCGTCACACTACACTTACACAAACACCTGTACACAACAGTTTCGTCACACTACACTTACACAAACACCTGTACACAACAGTTTCGTCACACTACACTTACACAAACACCTGTACACAACAGTTTCGTCACACTACACTTATACAAACACCTGTACACAACAGTTTCGTCACGCTAACACAAACACCTGTACACAACAGTTTCGTCACACTACACTTACACAAACACCTGTACACAACAGTTTCGTCACACTACACTTACACAAACACCTGTACCCAACAGTTTCGTCACACTACGCTTACACAAACACCTGTACACAACAGTTTCGCCACACTACACTTACACAAACACCTGTACTCGACAGTTTCGTCACACTACACTTACACAAACACCTGTACCCAACAGTTTCGTCACACTACGCTTACGCAAACGCCTGTACCCAACAGTTTCCTCACACTACACTTACACAAACACCTGTACACACAAGTTTCGTCACACTACACTTACACAAACACCTGTACCCAACAGTTTCGTCACACTACACTTACACAAACGCCTGTACACACAAGTTTCGTCACACTACACTTACACAAACACCTGTACCCAACAGTTTCGTCACACTACACTTACACAAACGCCTGCAGGCAACTGTTTCATCACACTACACAAACACTTGCCAGCAACTGTTTCTGAGAGCTGCTGTGAGGGCATCTCCAGCCGCCCCCCTGCCCCTCTCCCAAGGGAGGGGAGCGGAGTACAGTTTCCCATCACCCCCACATCCCGCTACGCCAAAGGGATGTGTTCTCTCCCCCACCAAATGTCTCCTGAGATGGTCATTGATTTGCCATTTACGCAGGTATTACTTCCACACATAAATATGTCCGTAATAATCTTCATTTGGTCAAGCCATGGATGACTCCACCACAACTCTGCGACCGGTGCAAACTGTAAACTTTGAAGCAGATCCCATTTCTGGAGAATCATTCGTTCCTTCCATTTGCATTTATGTGTTGGCACATCATCATATCTTTTTATACATGGGTCATCACTACACAGTCCCATATATTTAATGTATAACACATCACTACACAGTCCCATATATTTAATGTATTGCACATCACGGCACAATTCCACATATTTTATGTATATCATAAGTATGGCACAGTCCCATATCTTTGATGTATGGCACACCACTGCACAGTTCAATATATATGATGTATAGCTCATCACTGCACAGTCCCATATGTTTGATCTATGGCACATCACTGCACAGCCCCATATGTTTGATCTATGGCACATCACTGCGCAGCACCATATATTGTATGTGACTCATCAATGCACAGGCCCATATATTTGATCTATGGCACATCACTGCTCAGTCCGATGCATTTATCTACGGCACATCACTGAACAATTCCATATACTTGATGCACATCACTGCACAGTGCCTTATATTTGATATATGGCACATCACCGCACAGTTTCAAACATTTTATCGACGGTACATCACTGCACAATCTTATATTTGTTGTAAAGCACATCACTGCACAGTGCCATATATTTACACATGACACATCACTGAACAGCCACATATATTTGATGTATGGGACATCACTGCCAGGTGCTCCACTACAGGCTGTCAAGGGCCACCTGCCAGGTGCTCCACTACAGGCTGTCAAGGGCCACCTGCCAGGTGCTCCACTACAGGCTGTCAAGGGCCACCTGCCAGGTGCTCCACTACAGGCTGTCAAGGGCCACCTGCCAGATGCTCCACCACAGGCTGTCAAGGGCCACCTGCCAGATGCTCCACTACAGGCTGTCAAGGGCCACCTGCCAGATGCTCCACTACAGGCTGTCAAGGGCCACCTGCCAGATGCTCCACTACAGGCTGTCAAGGGCCACCTGCCAGATGCTCCACCACAGGCTGTCAAGGGCCACCTGCCAGATGCTCCACCACAGGCTGTCAAGGGCCACCTGCCAGGTGCTCCACTACAGGCTGTCAAGGGCCACCTGCCTGCAGTGTTCCTTAATGTTGACCTTTAGCTGATCTCGCTATCAAATAAAATCGACTTAATTAACCATTGTGGCGCGGGCAGACTTCAGAAGCTAATATAAATAACATCACGGTACACGCCACCAATATTCGCTCGCTCAAGATACGAATATGAACACTTGCACAGTTCTATAACATTTTCAGAATCACTAAATAACTGGGAAAGTGTCTGGCGAGTGTGGTAACGCTGAGCGCCAGGGTTGAGAGGAGGTCACGTGGCTGCCTCAGTCACGTTACGCCAGTCACGTGACATGGCCTTCCATGCTCCCAGTCACCTCCAGGCCGGAAGCCAATTCACCCAAAGCAGTAACGTTATATAGATTGTTTTGTGGTTGGTGGAGAAGGGTTAGTGGCGGCGGGGGGTGTGGCGGGCCAGGGTGAGGGAGGGTGTCCAGGGCCGGGTCACATGGCAGTGTTTACATCAGAGTGGCCGCCACTCACTCGCCAGGTCGGGTGCCGCCTCCTCCCTCAAGGCGACCACACACGCTTTTTCCTTGTCGCTGCTGGACTTACCTCTTATCGTGCTGGGCATGATGGTGGTGCCTGGTGCATGGTCCGGCGGCGGGTGTGATGGAGTGAGATGCGAGCTAACTGTCACGATAGCACGAGGAAGAATGTATTGGTCACGTGTGTCTGGAGGGGGGGAAACGCGCGGCGACTCACTTGTGACTGCCAGGCCGGCACCAAATCCACTGACTCCCGGGCGACACCACTCCAGCAGCTAGCGGTTGAGACCTGCGCTTAGTTGCCACAACGTAGGCATCGCGAGAAGACATCCTCATACGCGCCGCTCTACCTATGCCTTCCCCACGCTTCCGCGCCACACACACAACCTTCCAATTGATAACCGCTTAACAACTCCTCAAAATTTAGCTTAACAGTAGTTTCCAGCTATTTTAAAACAGTATTTCGGGTGCCTGGGTAACTATGAGTCCCCTGGTAGGAAAGAGTGAGAAGAGTACCTACCTGTAAGATGTGAAGCTCCCCTGAGGGATGTCCACAGAGGGTGTCACGTGGCGCCGGCGGGCCCCAGGGGTCGAAGAGACCACCCTGGGTTGCAGCTCAGATAACGGGTCCCTCGTAAAACCTTAAGAGCAAAATAAAAAATCAAGGAAAGATAGCATGCAAAACTATTAATAACACATGTAATGGATAAATATAATTCAGACACTATTGTGTATAATATGTTTATGTGACTGACGTGAGCAGTTGTATCTACATAAAACATTATGTTCAAAGGACAAGACTATAAGTGAGAATAATGAACGTTACACAACAGTCTACAAGGGAAAACTAATCCCATCTACCCTCGTCGACGCTCTCCTTCACCCCCCACAAGTCACCGCACAAAAAAGCACCACATTCCTTAAGACCACACATTTTCCACTCACTCTACCACGAAACAACATAACACGTCCTACACCTCCGCCCATAAACAGCATGGCAGTCAATACACAGTCAATACACTCCAAAACAACATAATGCATCTTTTACACACAAATTCATCTCCCGTATACTAGTAACAACAAAATTCCCCACATATCCCCAGCCGCATAACATTCATTATATAAATTTAACTACATACACCCCCACAGACACAACATTATCCACACCCCCACAGACACAACATTATCCACACACCCACAAACACAACACTAAACCACTGGAGCTTAAGAGTGAAGTTAACAACTGTACCACTGGCGCTTAAGAGTGAAGTTAACTACTGTACCACTGGCGCTTAAGAGTGAAGTTAACAACTGTACCACTGGAGCTTAAGAGTGAAGTCAACTACCACTGGGGCTTAGGGGTGAAGAATGATATCGGCAAATTTTCACTTATTTGTTCAAAGTACATTGATTTATCTTATGCTTTTTTCAACATTGTCAATAGTTATTTTTTGAGTTTACAGATATGGTTGATTTTTTGTGATTAATAAATATACATTTTTGTGATAAATATATATATATATATTTGTGATTAATAAATAAATATTTTTGTGATTAATAAATAAATATTTTTGTGATTAATAAATATATTTTTTTGTGATTAATATACATGTATGTTAAATAATAATTTTATGCAGGAGTTCTTTGAGACATAAAAATTATTTCAATGGTTCAACATTTGCGCAACGGTAGAAAGGTTGATAAAGGCAGCAGTAGATGGGACGCCGCAAGCCTCGCACACAACTCTCAGGGGAATTGACAGGGTGGACAAAGACAAACTCTTCAGCACGGGTGGGACACGAACAAGGGGACACAGGTGGAAACTGAGTACCCAAATGAGCCACAGAGACGTTAGAAAGATTTTTTTCAGTGTCAGAGTACTGTAGTTAACAAATGGAATGCACTGAAAAGTGATGTGGTGGAGGCTGACTCCATACACAGTTTCAAATGTAGATGTGATAGAGCCCAGTAGGCTCAGGAATCTGTACACCAGTTGATTGCCGGTTAGGAGGCGGGACCAAAGAGCCAGAGCTCAACCTCCGCAAGTACAACTAGGTGAGTAACACGGCCACTTGGCCACAAGGACTCATGATTCCCAATTATACCGTTAGCTTTTTTTTTACTTTTTCCGCCTACGGAAAGTCTACATCTCTTCCATTTAAATTCCAAAAGTGTCATGGACCCCCAAGTACATGAACCAGGCGTCACATTACTCATCACGTTTACCAACCATGATCTAGGGCAGGGGTCTCCAAACTATGGCCCGCGGGCCACATCCGGCCCGCCACATAATTTCATCCGGCCCTCCAAACAAATCCCTGTGTGGTGGCCTTGTCAATTTTGAAGTCAAAACGACAGTATCATTCGTCACACTAATTTGGTTGCATAAAACTAAAGGCAGGAATCTATTTAGTTTACCCTGATTTTTTCCAAAAAGATATGTTTTAATTTTTCCATGTTTATACTTTAATATTTGAGGAAATTAAATTACTGGCACTGATTTGTTTTTTGTTTTTTTTTCATTTTTTATTCCTCCGGCCCGCATAAATATGGGAAATACATAATGTGGCCCTTACATTGAAAAGTTTGGAGACCCCTGATCTAGGGGGTAGCATGATGCGCTTCGTCTGGATTAAGTAGATAAATTAAGAAAAGAAATACTGGTAATTAATGTGTCAAAACTCACCGTGTAAGAGTTCCTCATTTTCTAATTTTCTCCATATAAGGTTTTGAACTAACCCACTTGATAGTGAAACCAAATGGAAAGGAATTACTGAATAGCAAATATCACATACAGTATACCATACAAACTTATTATTTCCCTATTATTTTAAATAAATTTTATAACTGTCTTTAAAATATAATGTACACGATCTTTAGGTTTCTGGGACTATGAAACCCTGGATTATCCTTCATTCACTACTTAACTGCACAGTTTTAAAATATGCTTAGCATTTATTGCGTTATAGCCCTCCATTTATCAAACAAATATGGTTTAATATATGATACTGTCCAGCACCAGCACAGGTGTAGAATACAGCGCATATAACCCGCGACTAATGACACAAGTACAATACAGCAATATAAATAATAATATTTGCAAACACTAAAAAAGTACAATAGGCTAAATGTACAACAATACCAAGACCACACAATAATATATAAATTAAACAAGCATATACAGCAGTTATCTCTTGCCATTTTCGATGGAGTAATATCGTTCTAAAATTAAACATGATATTTTAATATTTTATGGCAGATTGTATGACTTTTGAATTTGAATTTGAATTTGAACTTTTGCAATAAGACATTTGACACAAAGGTTCTATGAAACTGTAGATGACTAACAAGTTTGTTGACCAAACCACACACTAGAAAGTGAAAGGACGACGACGTTTCGGTCCGTCCTGGACCATTCTCACAATCGTCTTGAGAATGGTCCAGGACGGACCGAAACGTCGTCGTCCCTTCACTTTCTAGTGTGTGGTCTGGTCAACATATTTCAGCCACGTTATTGTGACTCCTCGCCTGCACTAACAAGTTTCTTTCGATACCATGTTTAGAGCAGAAAGTAATTGTGACTTCCAATGCCCCTGTTACCTAGCAGTAAAATAGGTACCTGGGTGTTAGTCAGCTGTCACGGGCTGCTTCCTGGGGGTGGAGGCCTGGTCGAGGACCGGGCCGCGGGGACACTAAAAGCCCCGAAATCATCTCAAGATAACCTCCAGACAGTGAAAGAGAAGTAGTTTCAAAGGTGCTATAATGGAGTATAATTAAGCCTTGAGGTAGTATGATAACTATAATGTAGTATAATGAAGCTTTAAGAAGTATAATAACTATAATGTAGTATAATGAAGCTTTAAGATGTATAATAACTATAATGTAGTACAGTATAATGAAGCTTTAAGATGTATAATAACTATAATGTAGTATAACGAATCTTTAGGATAGTATAATAACTATAATGGAGCGTTAATATGGTATAACTATAATGCAGTATAATGAAGCTATAACATAGTATAATAACAATAACAGGAACCTAATTACACAACATCGCAGTGTGTATAGACATAATAATACATTTCAATGCTTTAGACAGGCGTCAGATAGGTACGGTGCTGTGCAAAAATAATATAAATAAATTTAAGAGTATCGCATAAAATCAGGAATAAAATAACAATAATAAGTAAACAGGTTTCGATGTTAATATTCAGTTCACACATTGAATTAAATTACAAGTTTGGGAGCGTTATAGTTGGCGTTTCTGGAAGGAAATTATTACTAACATAGTGAACAGGTTCCAAAAGTTAAAGCTGTTGTATAGCCAGCTTGTATACCTATAAATATTGCTTAAGTATAATTTATTTTGTTTTACACGTTAGTAAATGAGTTTTTACTTAAGAAAAGTGTTTGTCAGAATCTCGAGCAAATATTATTGCAAGGCAGAGTTTATTATTGAAAAGCTCAAATACGTTTATATCATTAGTAAGAGGATTTTTTTTTTTTTGCTTTCTAAATAGTGTAGTTAAAATAAAAGTTTGAAT